TTTAGATTTCCTAAAACTTTAAAACAACATACCTCAACATTTTTACCTTCCCGAAGACGTCGAACAGTTTCGCACATTAAATCAAAGTCGAAAGCCTGTGGGTGATCGAAATTATACTCACTTTTTGCCGCGAGATGATGCTGTCTATCTGTCAGCACCTTTAATATCTTATTTAAGCACAAAATTCATATTAACTTTTAAGACAGTTTAAAAGGCCTGCTAGTCTATCACTCAAAAGATGAAAAGAAAATAAGGATGAAAAATTAGATTAAAAAAAGTACTTTGTAAAAAGAATCCATGGATAAAACGGTAACCCAGGGCATTTCCAATCGCTCAATTATTCGTCTGGCAACAGTAGTTTTGCCAGAAGCTGAGCCGCCGCAGATGCCGACCACATATGGTTGTTTCAAAATTTTTCCTTCTCGGTCATACCACGGTGGACGACCTTTCGTATATATACGCTATAAGCTATCAAAAAGTAACAAACGGTTAAAATAAAAATTTTTTCTAAATCTACTCTGAAAGAACGGAAATGTAACTCATCTGCTTTTAAGCAAACAATGTATGAAAATCATTAACAAAATGACTAAAGTAAAATAAAGGGAACTGGGAAAAGAGTGAAAAATATTGTTATGAAATTTTACTTACACGTCCACTTTCTGTTGTAATAAGATGATCTTCGGATTTTGAGCCCGAAATAGTACGCATAGGTCGGTGTAAAGGGAGAGGTGGAGCTGCAGAACCACTGAAACTTCTGACGGTAAACACAAAAAACATCAAAATAGTAGACCAATACTGCTAAACAATATATAAGAAATTTATCTTAATTACGTAAATGCAGGGACAGAGCAAAAAAAAGGTAAGACGTAAATAACGACATGCGAAAATACGAAATGAAATCAGGTTCCTTAAACTGAAAGATTCATTCCGTGATGATAATTACTTTATGAAAAGAGAGAGAACAATTACCTATTGCTAAGATCATTACGTACTGATGTTAAACCATTGCAAGCATCTGGCAAGGGATCGGCAATTGTTACGTGACGTTCTACGTGCTCACGCATTACGTTTTAACTGCAAATTTTCAACGTGTTTGCTTTCGTCAAGCAACAATGAATAGTGAATGACCGTAGTGCATCAACCTTTTACCAAATAGATGTGAATTCGGTGATGGTAAAACTGCAACATGAGAGAAAGGATGGAAACAGAATTTCTGATAAAAAGGAAATCATAATAACCTACTACAATGCATTGAGGAAGGAAAGAGTTGTTATTTAAGGAATAAAATGAACCCACTAAGTGGTTGTTCATTTGATAAGTTGCTAACTGATGCCGTATAACAATAAACTAAATAAAATTCAAATATCAAAATGTGCGAAGAATTTGTGGAAAAGTTAAAGGAATTTAGGCAGGGAGCGACTAGTATGAGATATCAAAAAGAAAAGTATAGCCTAGCTCAGGAAATTTGGTTAATGCAACATGGTGAGACACGCAAATGCAGGAGGTCAATTTTATAGACATACATCATCCGACGACGCAGAACATCAGGTGGACATATCTGCTGAGTGCAACACATCGATGCGCTTCTTGTGCTGCAAACTGCAGCACTCCTATATAATCCATCCAAAGACATCGACTCTTTAGAAACGAGAAAAGGTATGCAGGATTAGACGGAGAAAGAAATGTTACCGAATCCTTTCCGCAGATAGAATCAATCATCTTTAAACCGAAGACCAGGAAGATGTTTCACATTTTAACCGGTTAAAAAATGAATAGCATTCGTAGTCATACAGTTAGTTACCTGTGTGTGAAAACATGGCAACAAACATTTTGGAAGGCTTCAATGCCGAATGATATGTTAACCGGCTGATGCTAAGTCATTCAGATAAGCAGACGTATTACGAAAAGCATCAGTACGGAATAGTGTATATCTGGCGTTACTGGATTTAATACGTTTCACTTGAATAGTTGGGCAGAAGAGGGGCAGAAGAAAAGAGGGGAAGAAGAGCAGGAAGGTGCCGATAAATCTCTTGTTTTCCTAAACGAACTAAGAGTTTTTAGCTTCTCAAGTCCCGTCCAATAAATTTTTCAGTAGAAGTAAAATTTTTGAAATATAAAAATTCAAACATGAAACATGATCTTTACTAAAATAAAATGGATCCGTCAACTAGATAAAAATAGATGCCAGGATAAATACAGCTGTTGAGTTTAAATCAAAAAACGGATTACTTGAAAAAAACACTGATCAGTTATTTACAACAATTCCTTCGACCAACGCCTTATTTCAGTATCAGCAAAAATTTTGATTTATACAAATATGCTTTTAGTAATATGATTAGAGATAATTATCGACGTCCGAATTTCATTTTCAAATTAAACAACACTTAATTTTGCAACACATTAATAAAGCAACTAATCGTTCTCTTAACTGGAAGAAATTTATCTGATATTGGAGATGACAACAGATGTTGCACATCACAAATAAATTAATATCGAGAATAAGAAATTAAACAAAATCATTAGGAATGAATCAAATTACGAAACTAGAATGTAACAGACGACACACAGTATTAATGAGATAATCTAAACTTCGACCTCTCAAATGCTGTAAGAGAGGAAAACACAATGGTTGAGTCATTCCTGTGCTGGATGATGGCGCGATAAATAATAAAAGCAACCGGCAATGGTAGTTGAAGTATGCTCAGTGACGATGGTAAATAATAAAAATACACAATAAATAGAGGGAAGAATGCAAACAAAACAATTCAAAAGCTATTAAAACTTCTTTTTTTTTTGTTATCGAGAATATTTTCTGAGCATACAGATCAAATGAAATTCAATGCATCTTCTCATAACGAAATGATTGACGAAAAACCATGTTGCCTTTTCAAGCAAATAAAAAATACAGTTTGTTTGCAGTGCTCATTTCGTTACCATTCAGTTATGCTCTTTTCGTTTTCACTAAATTCAAAATCTGCTAAAATTTCTTCAAAAACTCAACATTTATATTAGACCAAATAGAATGGATTTATCAAATTTGTCCATTACACCATTACTGAATATTTTGGAATGAGAGAAAATGAAATTCACAACCAAAATATGCTGCAAAGATAATAATTAAGAATATATCGGCAATAATTCTGAATATAATACACTCTTTAGGACATGTATCATACATATAAATAAGAAGAGATCAATCTACCTTGAGGTAATTGATTTGCTCACTTGCTAATTGCTTTTTGCTGATTTCAAATCCTAGCATTCTCGAGAATTTGAAATTAGGCAGGTAGGAGAAAAGCCATGAAGAAATGCACTTCCTAATTCACGATTTATTAGTTTTTCTCCAAATTTTATTAATGAAATCAATCTTATTTATAAATCTATTAATAAAATTGAATGTGTGCAAAACAGTTTTTTGTTGCAGTTATTTCAAGCAAATGCACAGTTACTCTTAATGAATGGAAATCAGATCAAAGTCACGAAAAAACTAGAACTATAACTTTTTTAAAGTTGAATCCCGCCCTGTCAACCACATAATTCTATCTCAACCAAATGAAAAAAGGGAATCAATAAGTAACATTTATTAGAAAAGTTATTGGAAAGCGACGTTCCTTTCCTCGCATAATACCATTGTCCTACCGTTTTTTGTAACTTTACAACAACTCTTCATTCTATTTTCTCCCGTTACTCCAAAATCATAACACAAAAGCATGACTTTACTATTAACTTTCATAAAATATTAGGTTCACGTATTTCTAAACATTAAACTGGTATCTCTGGTTCACTCTCAACTGTCCTGTGCCCGTAAACTTTTACTACTAACTTTCATAAAATATTAGGTTCACGTATTTCTAAACATTAAACTGGTATCTCTGGTTCACTCTCAACTGTCCTGTGCTCCCTTTCTGTTGACTATATGAACTAGATACGGGTTTTGAAGTTTGATAATTTTCTCCTATAGCAATCTGCAACATAATCCCCAATCTACAAATCCCTGGGAGAGACAAAGAGTTCTGTGCCTTCCTTAGCATGTTAATGAAAAGTACAAGTATGCTATCAAATTAGCAAAATTTATCACTGCAAAATGTTGTGGTGGTAATGACCAGAACCCAAGCAAACCAAAATACTTATTAGACAAATTAAAACACAAGACCGTTGGAGTGAACACTCACTGCTTTGTTAAACATCGAGAATGAGATTGTCAGCTAGGTGTGTTTTGATGAAATGCAAGACATTGCATATAATTACTTTATAAGTGTTCATAAACTATAAGGGGAACACCATAAACAAAAGGAAAGCAAATGCAGCACAACTTAACGGGTTAAATTTGTTTCAAAAGTGAAATCTGATGTAAAGATCTATGAACTACAAAGTTTCCTTTTTTGCTTTTTTAATAGAAGCATTTATTTTCAATCAACACGGAGTCCTTTTCGCCTAACTAATTTCAAAATTCTGAGTAAAGTGGACAACAGTTGAACATGCAAGCACAGATGGGCGTGAGTTCTTCAGATCAAAGTTCTGATAACCTCTCCCTCCAAAAAGATTTCAACCAACAAGAAATATCCAATAATTTCCTTGTTTGAAGTTGTAGAAAATCAATAATGTTGAAGATGAAAGATATAGAATATCAATAGTTAACTGAACGAAAATAGTAGTGGTTTAACTACATCGAAAACATCACTTTAAAGGTTATAAAAGGGAACCAGAAGAACTTAGTCCTGATTTAAATTAAAATGAATCAGTAACCTTTCCAGTAGCGAATTTACTTTGCAAAAATGAAACAGATAAATTGCCAACTGTAAGGTCGCAAACACCATAAGAAAATATAAACTGTCAAAAAACTATCAAAAACCCGATAGTTGGCAGATGTCTACAAATTACAAAAACCCGTACAGATGATGAAGCGAACTGAAAAAGATTGTTGAACAAATGAAGATACGATTGGAAGAAATGAAATTCGGCAGTTAAATCCTAATTTTCTTTTTTCGCTTGAAATGCTTCTATGCCCAAATACCTTCGGCATCATCTTCCTAGAAGAAATGAAAAAGTCAGCAAAGGCCTCACTGATAGTTTACACTTTATATTCATTCATATAGTTTGCTTTATAAAGGTTAAAAAGTTAATACTCGTCTAAAAAGTCACTGTTAAAACAAACAAAATCGGATTTAAAAAATCAGGAAAGAGTCATAAAAATGAACAATTTGTCAGTATTTAATACATGTAACATTAAACTACTCTGAACACGACTACTAAATCTGATAAACATAAAAGGTTTTTCTTGCAAAAAGAAACCTAACCTGATCAGTAACAGTTTCACGTGGTGTAGGAAGACTTGCTGGAGCACTGACTGCTGTAATCGTAGTAAGACCGCCTTCTCCTGAGAGGTCATTGGCTAAATATTCATAAAACAAATAAGTAAAAAAATCATAATTTTAAAATGCATATTTTCCTACAGTCCTGAACCCTAGTTTTTGAAGAATATTATCTGCAATTTTGCAATGCCGATCTCTCACCTACGCTTAAATTAGCAGAGCTGAGAAGCTGGGCGCGACGTTCATTTTCTTCTTTTAATTTTTCCATCAGTTTTTCTTTATGATGGCGTAGGGTTTCTATCTCTTCGCGTGGTCTCTCCCTGGACTGTTCCAATAATGCAATGTGAGCATCTTTTTCGGCAATTGCTGCTACCAACGCTTCATGCCTACGAAATGCGCATAATATTAATGTCAAGTGAATCCAAATATCGTTATATTGCTTTCTAAATAAAGCTTGAAAAAAATCTAACTTTAGTTGCAGCAGCTGCTCGATATGTCTTCGCTTTTCAAGTTCTAAAGAACGCAGCACTTCCTCGCGTTCATTACTTGTCAACTTCTTCACATGACGTCGAAGCTCATTTAATTCACGGCGACATTCGGTCAACTTAAATTAACCATTAAGAAAATTAGATTCAAAAAGTTACAAGATTTATGTCCATCCAACTAAACATAGTTCACTTTAAAAAAAGAAAAGGTGAAATACATACTTGAGCAGCAAGTTGCTGACTAAGTTGCTTCTGCTGGGCAACATGAAGCTCTCTTTCAGCTGTTATACTTACTGATTCACGCAGAGCTTCTTCTAGCTCCTCCACTCTGCAAAGTCGAAAATACATTACAATAAAAATTAAACATTTTAGGCTCAGCAAGAGAACCAGAAATGCAAAAAAAACCAAAAACCAAAAACCAGAATGAACAACAGAACCTAGACTTAAGAGATCCTTCAGTTGAGAGAGCAGAAAATTCGGATCGAGTCTGACTAACTGCCGAAGTAATATCACCCTTGTGAATATCCTCCAGTTTGCTAAAAAAATGGAACAGATTCTAGTTAAGAATTTATCCAAAAGGCTACAAAAATGATTCTCCTTCCACGCAATTAAAAGAAGAAAATGAAATAATGCAGAAACAGAAAAACAAACAACATACCTTTGCAGCTGCTTACAATGCGAAATTATAGAAGTCTTTTCTTTCTCAAGTCTTTGCACTATTCGAAGAAGAGATTCAATCTCTTTTCTCGCTTCAGCAAGCTGAAAAGTTTGATCACGTCAATTTTCAAAAAGCAGATCTGCTATTTTAGATCAAAAACACTGTATTTAAAATTGTATTGTGAGGCCTGTCTATCATAAATAAGAATCAAATTAAAATTATTCAATTGAGAATAGATTTTGGTAACAATTTTCTAAAATCACTCACCTCTTCGTCGTTTGAAAGCTGTGGTGCACGACCTTTACAGTGTCGTTCTACTGTTACCAGTTCTTGGTCAAGGTCACCTATTTTTTCACTTTGTGACTCTAGTAGTATTTCTCTGAAACCGCTCAGTAACTGGGTTGAATAATTCATTTCCTTTACCTCAACATCGAATAATTTAAAGCAAGGGAGGCCCTGATTTTCTAATAAATTTATAAGATATGATGAATGTTAATTCTTTCTTCGAACGTCAGATAAAGCTTACCCTTGTATCAATGCTTCTTCACCAACTTATACTAGAATGTGACACGGAAATCTGTAATGGAATGGCGAACTTACGCTGTTAGATGTATTTTGATAATAATACTCGCGAAACTCGAAAATTTTATCTGGGAAGCTGAATACTGTAATAATAAATAACGTGAAAATTACCGGTCGGCTAATTCTTTCTGTAGGCTTTCGATTGTTGCTATTAGTTGTCGATTTTCCGCTTGAAATGTTTCCAACTGCTGCATTTTTTCTTTTTCAGCATTGTGGCGTAGTTCATTAATTAACGATTGCATTCTCATTTTTTCCCTGAAACAGCTGGCATGCAAGCTATAAAAGGCCTATAATAATTGATTAAGCATTAAATTTAGAGCTGGTACTGAATTGAACAGAATGTAAAACAGTAGTACTTAGAATTTAAGAACTCCTCCTCCTTAGATATAAGTAGATTAAAACATCAATGTTATGCCAACCTATTAGCTTCATCAAGATGCATCTGCAACTCTTCTTCCTTCTGTACGTCCGGATTTGTCAGAAGTTTTTGCTTGATCTTTTCCAGCTCGTTTTCTTTCTCGTGTAGTAAACCTTCCATAGCATCAATCCGCGCCAATAACTGACTGATTTTTTGCTCATAATTCTGCATGTGAATTTATTAAGTTCAAATTCGAAAACTTGCTTGAAATTTAATAATTTATTTATTCAGTATTAAAAGTAAAAGAAAAAATACCTACTCTATTACTATCGCGAAGGTCTGACACTCTGTTCTTTTCGACCGTTAAATCTGCTTCCAGACGTTCAGAAGTTTTCTCTTTTTGTTCTATTTGTATATTTTTGGTTTCCAGTTTAGCACGCAGTGCTTCAATCTAAAAACATCTAAAACTTTCACAATAAATAAGGAAAAATAAGGATCACACCTTATTAAGTTTGTAAAACTAGTTAAAAAAAAAAAAAGTACAATATTGTAACTTACATCAGACTGCAACAGCGTTGCATGTTTTTCCTTTGCTGCTGAAGATTCACGAAAAACTTCAACACGCTTCCTCAAGTCTTCGACGGCTTCCGTTGCAGCTTGCAATCGTGTCTGCACTGAAGAGAGTTCAGCTACCCTGTGAAGTAAAAAATTAAAGTGTATTCTCAAGAAAATTGCTTTTCAAAATTAATGAGACAAAACTTTCGATTACTGAATGAAACTAACTTTTGTGCCAGTTCCAATTCACTTCGTTCCATCTTCATACGAAGTGTGTTGATCTCATGAGGAGTTATAGTTTTATCAGTAAAATCGCGCGGAAGTTCCGCTCGCTCTGATCGTAACATCGCAATTTCGTCTTCTAGGTCTGCTATTTGTTGGTCCTAAAGTCAAAATGTCATATAAAAAAGTGTTTTATAAAAATTGAATTACGACTATAAAGATGTCGCAAGAAAGTTACCCAAAAATGCACACCTTAGCAGCATGAGATGCTGTAACTGGTAGTTGCGAAAAATGTCGGTCCATCGATCTAATCTGCTCTTCTCGGATCTCAAGCAATGATTCTAATTGATTACATCGTGTTTCTAAATCAGCCATACGACTACCACCATCATGATATGTAACTGCAGCTGTGCGCTCCATGAGCCGTCTAATCGTTTCATCTTTTTCAGCAAGCTCGCACCGACAGTTTTCAAGTTCTGTCTCCAACTCTGCAACTCGAAATCCAGAACCATTCTGAGGTCCAGCCTGAAAAATCATGTCAACTATCAATGAAGTTAGACGAGAGCATAAACGGACGTAAACACAATACAAAATAGTTGCAATGATTGGAAACTTCGTATAAAGTTGCGTGCAGAACAATACAACTTTCAGCTTTACTAACTTGTCTCTGCAAAGCTACAAGTTTTGCTGTTTCCTCCTTTCGTAATTGTCTTTCACGTTTCAATTCAGGACTCCAAAATGTTTTTATAGAACTCATAGTTGAATTCAACTTCTGTATAGCCATTTCGTAATCTTGCTTCAAGAGGTTATAAGCTCGAACGGATTGTGTATCCGATAATCCATAAGTGTCACTATTATATGAACAGGTACTGAAAAACTTTAAATTACGGTTATAATTTCAAAGAGGAAAATGGAACGGGTCGGTAAAACCAGTAATAAGAAAACAAATTAATTCGAAAAATTATTCTAAAGTAACAGATATATCACTTAAAAGTAAAACATACTTCGCTGATTGCTTCCAAAAATATGCATTTGTTGTTGTAGGATTGGATAAAGATGGCCTAGAATACTGAGATGACATCATATCTGCATCTGCCGTAGAAATGTCCAAATGTAACAGTGGTCGAATTTCATTTGTTCCGCACTCGTTCAACTGCATTCCGTCAAGAGACTTGTGCTGCCTAAATTGTTCGACATTAAAAAGTGAATTTGGAAGACAGCCCTTACTTATATGCAAGACGTCGTCTAAGAACTCGAGAAGTTAACTAGATAATTAATCAGTTTGTTCCTGCAACTTTGTCAGCTGAGCTAAGCTGAACAAAAAGAGAGGAAAGGGATGCAGTGAAAACGTATCAAAGAAAAAAACTAGTGAGATGCAATAACAAACAGAAGAAAAAACGTACCAAGTGAAAACATTACAACAAAATATAAATTTACCGCAACAAAACTTATTTCAATATTCATTTTTTACTATTCACTTTTGGTAGGCATTAAATTTGGAAAAGTTATACACAGAGTGACGGAGTCAACTAAAATCCAGACTAATTACTCTGTTCGTGATTAGGCAAGCATAAATGTGTAAGTCAACTTTACTGAAATCGTTGGCTTATACTTCAATACTTCTTTAACCAAAATATCTTATACTATTCTCTATGAAGGTACTCGAAGTCTGCATATTGTCTAATACTAAAACATACCATTTGCAAGTTCAGGGAAAATGTTACTTCTGCAGAAAAAAAAAGGATGAATTAGAAAATGTGAAATGTTTGATGAATAGAAACACCCTGTATGTACGGTCAAAAGATGCATCGCAGTTAAAATGTGTACACATCAGGATGTTTCCATGTATGTCATTTGAAGAGTGAAACATGGAAAACACGATAAAATGGATTTAAAAAAAAATACAATGAATTATGTTGGCGTGGGAAAAAGATAAAAGTTTCTTTGATAAGAATTATTATTATGTTCAAGCAAAAACATTTTTTTTTTGAAAATGGCGCTTGAAATATAGAGATGGATAGCCTTGAAATACCAGGAACAGCACGTAAAAACCAGAATCGATAACAAATTCTGGAAGTATTGCATCCCTACAATCACCAACAGGGCAGAATGTTTATTCACTTTTATTTCTCAAAAATTTAACTGAAAAAGCAACTGATCCGAGTTTCACAGTGCAATTCGATTCAGTCTATCATATCATTTTCTCTATTTAAAATCTATAGTAATTCAGCAACAAAATCCGGTATTACTACGTAACAATGTCATTTGCAAATTATAGTAAGGCAAAAATAATGAACCTTTGCAAAGCAGCGAAACGTCGGTTACTGGAATAGATCGAATTCATTACTTCATTATACTCCACCGTCAAATTTGAAGGTCCAGCACTATGGCTGCGATATACCGCTGCAGCACCGTCCTGCCAATAATGGCTGGGCTCGCACCGAGCAATCAACTGCGTTATCGGAGTTTCTCGCACACCTTGCTGCCAATTCCAGTTAGCGTCTGCACCTCTCGAGCAGAAGGTCCTTTGCAGATGCAAATTGGTCGGTCTGAATGCGATTCCCGCGTATCGCCTATAGAACTGCTTGTTTATCACGAAAATATCATTGTAAGTGGAACTCGGTATTTTAGTCCTTCGATTTTGATCTTAATTTTTTCTTAAATTACTTCAGAACAAAAACGTGCAAAATAAAACAACATTTAGGTATACAAATCAAAAAAAAATGGAGATATTATCCTATTATAGATTCTCAAGCGGCGAAATGACTGCGAAAAACAATGAACCACAATTCAAATTCAAAAGTAAGCATCATAATGTAGTGAAAAACAACTTTATATTCTTCGTAACAAAAAAGACAAGTGGAGAGTGTATAATGTCATGGGATAGGCATAAAATGTGTTTTAGAACAAAACATGTATATATAAAATCACTACTAGCTCCAACAAACAAAGTGTACTTCTTTATCTTTTCGTCGTTGCAAAACTCGGTGGTCTGCAGATGATGGGATGGAATGGGCTAATGTAGAAAACTGCAGGATATTGCCCGGTAAAAGCCTGTGCAATTTATGCATTGATTGTAAGCAACAACTTTTCCATATATATATATATATATATATATATTTAAGAAATATGAGGAGAAAAGAATAGCGGCAACTGTGCAATAACGCATCGATCGACGCTTTTGCTTAATAAAAATGTCTCATTCCTTATAAGCAAGCAAATTCTCATCGAAAACTTTACGGCCTGACCCAAGCCTTTCGATCATTCTCTGATTTATTCACTCTCATGAGCTGTCTTTATAACACTGTGTCTACTAATAAGTAATATTATGTAGTAGAATATGTATATGGAGAAATAACCTTCTTTAGATAACTAAAATATGCAAGAAAAAGAATTGTTCCTTGAGCAAGTAAGTAATATAAGTAGAGTCATAACCTACCTCAAAAGTTTACACATACGTAGGTTGATTAATTACTTATAGATTTAAATTATTAAGCAATTACCTAGGATGAAAGTGATGGCATCAATAACTAATGGAGCTAAAAGAAATATTAAAATACAAGCCAGAAATCTTTGCCACTAAAAGGTACTATAATCTATCAACATCTCAAAAATTAAAATTGATTAAGATTACAGTGGATGGAAACCGAAAACCTCTAACTATAATTTAATAAGGACTGTGGTTTTAATTTATACATCACAATAAAAAACTTGAACTCATCAATGCTGTAAGCATTTGATTAGAATGTATACCAAAAAGCCGCACTTTTCTCCATATTTCACTTCACGTAAGTCCTTTTTTTTCATTTAGCCCTTTTTTAGGCTTATAATAATGGCTAGGGTAATCAGAAGAGGAACCGTTGCTAAGAAAGCGAGAAAATGAAAAAGTGTAAAAGCTCAAAAGACTTTCTGATATAGAAAGTTCGAAAGAGTTTAAACTTATACAGAATTTTGCTGACCAAAACATTTATTCCTAAAAACCTTTAGTGTTATCAGGAAGATTATAAATCATACTTCGGTGAAGTAGGAACGAAATTTAAACTCATTATTGCTCCTGGAAGACGTTCTAATCCAAATATTAATGGAAGTAGCTCCCATCAGAGAGCAATACGACGGTTTCATAAGTAAACAACAACATCTGAAAGAATGTAGTATTTTGTCAACATTCGGGCCTAAGATGACTGGTGTAAAAACAATTTAGCATGTTATTGAGCAATTTCACGAAAATATCATTGTTTTTACATCACTACTGGTCTAGATTAGCTTTAATTTATACCATCAAAAGCAGGAATAGTTAACATCTGTAATGAAAACATTGACCTACCATGATTTCACCCCACGAAAATTGTTAAATCCAGAAAGAGCAGCACAGATCCATGAAACAGTTACACCATTTAATCTAAAAATGCATGCGAAAACTGCCGTATTAAGAGCTAGAAACTTCTTTATTTACGTGGAAAGCAATAAGAAATATTGGCTTCAGGTGAAGAATATTGGAAGCAGACTAGAATATCATCAGATTTTATGAAATATGACTTGGACTGACTTTTAACAGCTGAAAAGCTCTCAACACCTTACTATTATATTTTTTATTCCACTGATTTTGTTTTTCTTCCCAAAATCCCGTACATGAATCCTACAACTTTTTGGGTGCAGAACCTTGTCAATAACCAACCTCCAATAGATGACCAGTCTTACCTGACAACCACGGCTGAACTGTCACTGCAAAAATACTGCACCACGTACAACATTCCTTAATGCGGCACCATTTTGCAACAGCTTTGATTAGTCCGATTCTTGTACAGCGTATAATGTGCGTATAATATACTGGAATCCAGTAAGGTTGCTGTGAATGGGTTTATGTAGTTCATTTATATATGCACGTATGTACAAATAGTTTTCTATCTATTCAGAAATATAAATATTGAAAGTTAATGAGTCATACGTCTAAAATGAGCCTTATGCAAAGATGACTTGATTTTAATTCTTGGATATGGAGTGGTGCACTTTTCTACTTTTCTTTATGATGGAAAGGGAATAAGTTACAGTGAAAACAAAGAAATATAAGATAGAATGTTTGCAGTTAAGTTAAGAATTCGAGTATAAGAATATACGTTTAATTTAGTATATTTTATGAGGAAGATTAATTCTCTCTTCATTTCATTTCTAAGAAGTCAAGTACCTAAGAACCGAGAAATCGAGCTCCAGTATTTCCTCTCTGCTATGTGTACTGATCTATCATCGATTCCCTTCCTTTCTACTTTCGCATTTGGATTGTATTTGTTATTGGCATAATGGCACATAGCACTGTCACGGTGTGACAAAAGTGATGAAAAGATTGGCATTTAAACGTTAAATAGGAAAGACGTATTGTCTAAGAGGGTGCTTTATGTATCGATTGAAGATAGTTTTCATGAAAATGTTTTTGAAAGGGAATAAATTGAATGCATTTGCGGCGAACAACACATCAGCACTTATTTGAAAATTCATTTTATTGTTTATAAGAGATATTAAGGAAATGAAAAAAAGAAAGAAGAAACAAAAACAGGTGACAGGAAATGGACATCCGTTTATTTTCCACCTTGATGTCATAGGGATCCTGAATTTCCTGTCCTGGACCTGTCTATTTTTCTCTTTCTGCTTCCCGTTTTATCGGACCACTCACAGTCCAATAAGTTGATAGAATTCCTAAGAACTTGAATGTGAGCACTTCTCTTTATTATGGTTTTTTCAAAATAATGAATCGTAAGTCAGTAGCGTCTAAAAATCAAAAGTATTGTATTAACTTACTAAAAAATTTAATGACTGTTAGGAACAATTTGGCCGTTTCATTCTAATTTACTGCGCTTGCGTCAGATTTGCTGGAATTTTAATTGTAATAAAAATTTTTTAAAATGTGTCAAGCTGACTAAAACTGTGTAAACAACTAACTACACATATTGAGAAATTCTCGCCAAAGTCAATCATAATGGAGCAGTATTATTTATTAGTTACGATTGCTCAAATTTTAACCCCATGATCGGAGCAGCTGTCATCTCTCCTCAAATAATGTATTTGAAATAATGTATTTGGCGCGGAAGAATATACAGTTTTTAAACAAATTAGTTATAAATAAAGGATATTAAGAAATTAATTGCATTCTTTACTTTCATTCCACTGTGTACAAATTACGTTTGCTTATTTATAGTAGCCACAGAACAGAATTTCTTTCACTCGATTGATCGCAATCCAAAAGCATCACTTGAAATGCTAAACGGTAATAAATTAAAATTCCCATTAAATTAGTAAAAAATTACTTTATGACGGATAGTATCCCGGCTACCAACTGAATTTATTAACAATCCTTTTCTTTCAAGAATTAATTTTAACACTACCCAGGAACCAATCAGCTCATGGGATCACGCTGATTTGTATAATATGAGAAGATATTTCCTTATCGATGTGTTAATATTATTGCTTTATTCGCAGATGTGCCCATCTCTTTAAGTTCAAAAGAAGCAGTAAGCAGCTAGCACTGTGTTAGTATTTGGGATTCTGAATTTGAATTTTGTTCTGACTTTTCACTGGGAATAATCTTTGCAGTCATTTCCTAAATTCTATTTCATTTGTCCATGAAACACCAAATTTTTAAATGTACTGGATCAAATTTTGTCGCTACCATTGATTTTTACCTGAAATTATTATGTGCAGCGTACCATGTTTTTTTTTTTGACAAAATTATTCCATTTATGAAATTAACACCTGGTATTGCAGACTCTGTTTGTTTGTTTTTGTTTTTGTTTTTTTTTTTTTTTTTTAATTTAAGGTTTTTGAATTGCTCTATTATCTGTAAAAGGAAGCAAAGAATTCGGATTAAGCTTTATGACTTATCGAAAAAAGAAAGGAAAAGAGAAACAAGTCATGAATTAATGAGAAATCTTGGAATGATGAAATCAGAAAAGACGTATTGTAGTAATTGAAACAAAGTTTTTAGCATTTTGGTTTTAGGCATTTATTTGAACTCATAAGTTCAAAACTGATCCTTTTTTTGAACATCTGTTATTATTGTTATTTTTTTGAATTGATTTTTTCTTTTTAAATTTTGATATGCCGAAATTGCGCAGTAAAGCCTATTCATTTCACAAATAATTTGTCCAAGTAAATCGGTTTCTGTTTGTTTTGCATATCTATTAATACAGCTATCGACTGGATTAAAAGATGCGAGATGTGGAAGGAATAATGACGTAGTAAACTGAAGCTTTAATGCTCATTAAGCAGATTATTCTTTTTTCTTGTCGCTTATCACAAATAGGAATTAACAAACGGCATGCCATAGTGATCAGAAAACAGATTCGATACCATTATTTTATGGTATTACTGCATCCTAAGAAGGGTTTTTGCTTATGCACTACCTTTTATGCATTTTTAAATCTATAAGAAACAATTGAAAAAAAAAAAAACAGTTAGTCAGTATTTAGAGCTTTAAATATTACATTATCCTAAAGAAACAGATCATTACTTGATTGTCGAATTGTTACTTCATAGGATAACACAAGGTAGCCTTTAATTCGTTTTGCCAGAACTATTGAAGAAAGGATTAAAGATCGTATAACAACACGAATTCTATTAAAGGTATGTCGTAAGCTCCTATTGATCTTCAAGTGAAGAGAGAGTAGTGCCCGAATAATTATTTGGTTGAGCTCAATGTGTAAATCGCTTAATGGGTATTGCCAAAGTTGTCGGTTGCTATTATCCATCAAAGAAATAATTGCTTTTTTCATAAGTTTTCTCATAAAAGAACATAAATAGGGGTAAGGAAGTGAAAAGATAGCATTGATGGTTTATGGGTTTTATACACTAACTGGTAAGAATAGCATTGATTTGGATGAAAGTTGGATGGAAATTGATATTGCATCTGATCTGTTGTGCATTTTTGTTATAGAGAACAGCCAGTCCACTTCAATGGTTCAAATTTGTGGAAAGATGTCGTTTTTTCCTTTCAAATTTTCAAGCTTTTTTTTGTTTTTTTGTACAATTTATTTGCATTTTTCTAACTGTTACTTACAATTAGATTGAATTTATATTAATTTAATGAGACAGTAAACGGGCATTAATAAAAAACTGAATGAAAAATCCTGAGAATTTGTAGCAAATAAATTATTTGAAATAATGAGGTCAAAGTAAAGCTACTGTCTCATTGCTTGGAAGAAGATAGAAATTATTGGAATTTGGCTGACTGGTGACATATGGCGTAACTATTGCTAATACATATTTGAGTGTGTACGGACATCAAACTGATAAATAGGTATCCATGCTACAGCATCTACGCTATCCATACTCATTCATTCAAATTTGCGTCAATCTTCAAACTTTTCTTTTTTAATTCTTTGACTCTTTCTTGCCTCACATTGATGTATTATTGATACCAGTGTATTTAGTGCCACAAGTGTTAGCTAGCGGTATAACATAAGCAATGTCCTGAGCGCTGCTTCAAAAAGCCGTAAACGAGAATTATCTCCAAGATTTCCTTATGTTAATTCCTCTTATTATTGCCGACTTTTGACCGGAACTACATAGGTACCCACTGAAAGACGCATTTAACAGACACTCCATAGATTTGTTTAGGTGCATGCAATACATAACATTTTGAATACTGAATTTTTATCTTGTCATTTATGGCTCAGCGATATTCTGATGCTATCAATTCAGTGCTTGCGTAAGCATTTCATGTCAGCGTGTAATAAATTGTCAATATTCGTTAATTAGTTTTTCGTTACTTTCACTTCTGTTATCGTCAAAATGACGATTATATCAAAACTGATTTTGTTTTATAAGTGCTCTTCATTTTACATTTATCAGTTTAGAAATAATAAATATCCAACAGATTTGATGTTTTTTCCATCCTTATGTTTGATGGAAAATTCCAATTTCTCGTTTAAGCTTTTGTATTGCTAATACAAAACCAATCATTTGTTGCCTTTTATAACGTCGAAGAAACAAAATAAAATTCCTTAAATCATAAAACAAACACTTGCGCTCACAGTTCTGAAAATAGTGAACATCTAAGAGAGAAATAGGCTAGGAGGGACAATATTCTGAATAATAGGAGGCGTGCCATTAAATGAAAGTTGCATTCATCAGGAAGGGAAGGAGAGGAGGACTGGAGAATGGATGACAGAACATTATAAAAGCGAAAAGTAAGGCAGGAGATGATCACACGTATCTGAATTTGTCCTAACCTTTGCTCACTTTAATTTGGTTAGTAATTCATAATAATGGCGTTATGAACTTACTCATTATTGACAATTATCTTACTGGAAATCCGCTCTTAAGTATATTGTAAAGAATTTCAAAATCTAAATATTGCAGAAATTAAAATGAGATTAACTCATCTTTAATTCGTCTAATACTAACACACTATACTCATACACTCATATTCTCGCATAGTACAATTCGCTTCAGCTTTTCTAATCGACCATTTTTTACATTTACTTTTCGTCTCGAATCGTTGTGCAAATTAGCCTTTATTTCTGACAGCTTTATACTGGGAGATTTTTATTCTAATGTTTCATTGAGAATTGAAAAGCTTTTTTCCTTTAGCAGGTCTCACTTCTAATACTCTTTGAGAACTTCATGCACAGTTTTATTGAATTTTGTTTACTTTTATCTAAATGGTGCTACCATCACAAAAGGTTTTTCTCCCTTTGGGTACTTCGGCCAAATAATCCTTCTTTCAAAAACGAGTGGATGAAAAAAATTCCAATTTTTTGATTTTGGTCAGGCACTACGTCAACAACTGCACTCCTTTTTCATAAGTATTATTTATGTCTACATGCTTCACTTTCATGTTTGCTTACTTTTTACAGTGATTTTTTTTCTTGTAAGTCTATAACGAATGTTTCAACTAATCATTATTCAAAACAAATGAAACTGCACATTTGGAAAAAAGTTTCAGTAAATAAATCTCTAGCCATATTTCAATTTTGAATGCATTTATTATCAAATTAAGCATAAAAAATAATTCTGTTTGACAAGGAATTCCTATGAAGTCAACTAACTGAAATTATTTTAACTCGCTCAGTTATTACTAACGCCTCTTCCCCTGCACTAATAATTCTTTAATTTACATAATTAGTCATTGTCCAGACTTCTCCTACAATTTTATGTTTAATCTCTGAAAGTTGTTTTTCATTTTTAAAAATGATGTTTCCTGAACATACTTGACTTCTAAAGGAACTGCCAATTTCATGAAATGTAATCTCTATGAAGTTTCGTTTTGGGCGATAAACTATAAAATTGCACGAATAATCCAAGCAATAAGGCGATTCCCATAAATTTTAGTAATCGTTCAGTACAGGAAAAAAGC